TCCCGGGGGGCCGTGGGGGGCTGCCCTGGCAGGGTTGGGGTGACTGGCGGTTGGGGGCTGGCTGGGCGGCACTGCTGACCCTCCCTCGGGGCTCGGCCCCGCACGCCCCGCGGCCCAGGCTGCTCCACTCCCTGATGAACCTGAAGCGCGTCATCATCAACGCCGCCCACTACCTGGTGCTGGGGGACAAGGATGCCTACCACTACGACCCTGCCGCCCCCTTCCTCGGCACGGTGAGCCAGACCCTGCCCCTTGCCGGGACGTCAGGGCTGAGTCCCGCGGCCTGCGTGCTCTCGGCAGTGGCCTCTCGCTGGGGCTGACTCGTGTCTCCCGGCCAGGACGAGACGCGGCTCAACCAGGACTCGCTCCCGGAGAAAACCGTCATCAAGGTGGACGAGGTGCCCAGGTAGGAGCCGCCGGCGGGGCTAGGGCTGGGGGCAGGCCGCGGTCGGGTGTGGGGTCCTGATGGCGCAGGGGCTATCCCGGGGGCCCCGCCTGTGCTCACTCTGCCCCGCGTGCCTGGCGGGGGCACCCCCCCCCCCCCCCCAGCAGGTTCGTGGTCGTGTTCAACCCGCTGGAGCAGGAGCGGCTGGGCGTGGTGTCGCTGCTCGTGGACGCGCCGCGCGTGCGGGTGCTGACGGAGGATGGGCAGCCCCTGGCCATGCAGCTCAGCGCCCACTGGACCTCCGCCACCGACATGATGCCCAACGTCTACCAGGTGCGCCCGCTGTGCCCCCTGCTCCCCCGGGCAGCCCTTCCTTCTGCAGGCCGCGGGGGCTGGCACCTTTGGAGCCAGCGCCCGGCACGCACGGCCCCTGCTCTGAGCTGCCCATCCGGGGGCCTTGCCCCACAGCACATGCCCTCTCCATGCCCTTTCCCTCCCTCTGCCACAGGTGCCTTGCCCCTGCAGGCCAGGGACCCCCTTGCCTCTCCCACCCAGGGGCTGAGCATCCCCTCCCCATGGTGCCCCCAGCATCCAGCAGGCTGAGGGCTTGTCCCGGGGGATCTGGGCTGGAAGGTGGGCCCAGCTCACGGCCCCCCCCACGCAGGTGTCGGTGCCAGCCCGGGTGCCAGCGCTGGGCCTGGCCGTGCTGCAGCTGAGCCGTGCCTTTGAGGGCCACGCCACACTGACGGCCTCCACCCACCTGCACCTGCACGGCCGTGACCTGCCCGTGCGCAAGCATGATGCCCTGCCGCTGCGCGTGCTGCCCATCGCCGCCAGCGACTTCTGCCTCGAGACCCAGCACCTGCGCGCCTGCTTCGCCGGCCCCACCGGCCTCCTCCAGGTGCGTGGGAGCAGGGCCGGGCAGGCAGGGTGGGTGCAGGGTGGACGGGGTCCCTGGCCCATGGGCACTCACTGCCCTGGCTGCCCCTGGCAGAGCGTGCGGCGGGCAGGCGAGGAGCAGGACCAGCGACTGAGCAGCGAGTTCTTCATCTACGGCACCCGGACCTCCAAGGACAAGAGCGGGGCCTACCTCTTCCTGCCCGACGGCGGGGCCAAGGTGAGGCATGGGCATCGGGCTCCAGGGGCAGCTGGGGCTGGGGCATGGGGGGCTGGCGTTGGCTGCCCCGAGCATCAGTCTTCCCTGGGTACCAGGCTTTTCTCCCCATCCCTTCACAGCCCTATGCCCCCAAGGACCCCCCCATAGTGCGCGTGACCGAGGGACCCTTCTTCTCGGAGGTGGCGAGCTACTACCAGCACGTGCAGCAGGTGGTGCGGCTCTACAACGTGCCAGGTGAGGGCAGGGCCGTGCCAGGCTGGGCGTGTTTGGGTGCCCCTGTGAGAGCCTGGGGCCCAGGCAGGTGGCTGGACGGGTCCCCGGGAAGCTGGCCAGGCCGGGGGGGCAGCAGCAGGGCCCAAGCCATGCCCAGCCCTGACCGCAGCTGCCCGCAGGGGTGGAGGGGCTGTCCCTGGAGGTGTCCTGCCTGGTGGACATCCGTGACCATGTCAACAAGGAGCTGGCGCTGCGCTTCAGCACCGACATCGAGAGCGAGGACACCTTCTTCACCGACCTCAACGGCTTCCAGGTGCCCGAGCTGGTGGGGGCAGGCGGGGGGGGCCCCAGCCCCTCCAGCAGGTCCCAGCGCTGGCTGGATGGGACCCGGCACAGCCTGACCGGTCCCATCCCACCGGCAGATCCAGCCGCGCCGCTACCTGAAGAAGCTGCCGCTCCAAGCCAACTTCTACCCCATGCCGGCCATGGCCTACATCCAGGACAAGCGGAGCCGCCTGACGCTGCACACGGCCCAGGCGCTGGGGGTGTCCAGCCTGAGCAGCGGTGAGTGCCGGGCAGCCGCCACGCGGCTCGTGCCCTGGGGCTCTGCCAGCCTGCGGTCTCTGGCACGGAGGCGCAAGCCTGTGCTGCAGAGCCGGTCTCTGAGGAGATGCAGACACTGGGTGCCTGCAGCGCCGGCTCTCGGGGCATGGCTGGGCTGGGGATGCTGCCCCATGGCTCTGGGGTGGGAGCTTCTCTGCTCGGGCCCTGCTGCAGACCCCAGTGGGCCCAGGGCTGAAGCGGGCAGGGCGGCACGTGCCTGCTCTCACAGGCCAGCCCTGCCGGCTCTCGCAGGCCAGCTGGAGGTGATCCTGGACCGGCGGCTCGTGCAGGACGACAACCGCGGGCTGGGCCAGGGGCTGAAGGACAACAAACGGACGTGGAGCCGCTTCCGGCTCCTGCTGGAGCGCCGCACCACGGCCAACAAGGTCAGGAGCTCATAGGGGCGGGGAGGGGGCAACCCCGCTGGTCCTGGCCCTGGAGAAGCAGGGCTGAGGCGGGAGGGAGGGAGCATCAGCGCGGCACGAGTTCCCTCCCCTCCCTGCACCCAGTGGTGCACACCCTGCACCGGGCTGCGCGGCTCCGGGGCGGGCGCATGGGGACGTGCCCAGCTGGCCGTGTCTGGGCCCCGGTGCCTGGCGGCTCCTTGTGACCTGGCTCTTCTCGTCCCGCCCCACCGCCTCCCACCCCTACCCGCACCCCCAGCCCTCCGGCTTCTTGTCCAAGCTGGCCTCCGTGTTTAGAGACCTGGCCGCCCCGGGCACCAGCGCTGGCAGCCAAGAGGTAACGGGCGCCTGCCCCTGCCCTGCGCCCGTCCCGTGTGCTAGCCGCTGGTATCCGTAGTGTAGCACGGGCCCTACCGCCTACCTGTAGCCAGCTGGTAGTCAGCACTAGAGTAGCCCGGGGGTCCTGGCCGGGGCGCCAGGGGTGGCAATGGGGGCTGGGGTGCCAGTGCCCCATGGCAGCCCTGCCCCACACCCCCCAGCCCAGGTCTGCCTGGGGGATGGGGTGTTATTCCCTGGGCCAGGTTGGGGGTAGGGAGCTACAGACCAGCTCTGGGCAGAGCCCTCACCCCTGCTGGTCAGCCCCTGCCCCCAGTGGCTTGGACCAGAGCAAGAGGCACCCCCGCCCGTGGCAAGGCCTGGCAAGATGCCCTGTGCGCCAGGTCCTGGTGGTTCTGGCGTGCTCACCGTGTGGCTCGCTGCGGTGCAGGTGCAGGACAGCCGCCCCACCAGCTTCCCGTCGCTGCTGAGCCATGCCACCTCCATGCACCTCAATGCCGAGGTCCTGGTGATGCCTGTGGCCCAGGAGAAGACGGCGCTGCCTGCCCTGCGCTCCTTCCTGCCCCTGGCCAGCACTGTGCCCTGCGACTTCCACATCCTCAACCTCCGCACGCTGCAGGCCGAGGTGAGCGCCGGCTGCCCAGCACTGAGTCCGGCCCGCTGGGCACGGGCAGGGACAGGGCGGAGGGGCCCCTGCTCCCGGGGCCTGGTGCCCTGACCGGTCCTGCCTCATGGCGGCTCTGCGGCAATTGCATCTGCTTCCCCAGGACGACTCGCTGCCCTCAGCTGAGGCCGCCCTGATCCTGCACCGCAAGGGCTTCGACTGTGGGCTGGAGGCCAAGAACCTGGGCTTCAACTGCACCACCAGCCAGGGCAAGGTAGGGGCAGAGGCAGCGCTGGCTCTGGCGCCATCCCGCTCTCCCTGGCCTGGCGCCTGCCTGCCCTGGTGCTCTGCTCCCTGCGGGCAGCGATGGGCTCTCAGGGCACTGGCTAGCAGTGGTGTGGGGCGGCTTCGGGCCATGTGCAGGGCTGCGGAGATGGTGCTGGTCTTGAGGGCCTGGGACATGGCGTGCGAGGTCTGACCCTGCTGCAACTGCTGTGGGGCCACCCACTGCAACCCGGAGCAGCTCCCTGCACACGGGTGGTGGCCAGGGCCACGGGAGGTGTGGGCTATGCCGGGGGCTGTGCCCCCCTCTCAGCCAACGTCTCCCCCCTGCAGCTGGTGCTGGGGAGCCTGTTCCAGGGGCTGGAGCTGGGCTCTCTCCAGCCCACCTCACTGACACTGATGTACCCGCTGGGCACCGCCTCCGCCAACAACACTGTGATCCACCTGGAGCCCATGGAAATCGCCACCTTCCGCCTCCGCTTCGGATAGGCCCTGCCACGGAGCGCGAGCGGCCCCGGGCATGGCAGGGCCCCACTGGGGGCATGGGCGACTCCCGGGCAGCAGGAGATCTGGCCGGGCTGCCGCACGAGGGCAGCTGGACTCGTAGACCCGTGGCTGCTGTTTGTGACTCTGCGCCCCAGCCCGTCCGGAAGGGGCAGAGGCATGGCCGTGCCGGGCGGGACTGGCAGGCATCGCTGCCCGGCGGCTGCCTGCGCCTGGGCGCGACGGATGGACCCCGTGCTTGGACTGGGGCGGGCGTGGTGGCTCCCGGGGCAGGAGCGCAGCGGTGGCAGGACCCTGCTGCCCCAGCAGGGAGGTGTGATGTGTCTCCGGCACCTCCCAGCCCCAGGAGCAGATGCTGGAGCCTGCTGGGCTGGGGCGAGGCCCGACCGTGCCCCCCAGCGTGGTGCAGCGCTGCCCCCGGGGCGCAGGACGGGCTGCCAGCCGGGGCCGTGATGGACTGCACGGGGCAGAGACCGAGTTGGCTGAGCACATCATGAGCTTCTAGGAAACAAGTGCCCTGTGTCCATGTGCCTCCATGCGCCCGGGGGCTCTCGCGGGCCGGGCCTGCCTGGGCACGAGCTGGGCAGGATGGGGAGCGTTTAGCCCAGCTGGGGGTCTCTGCCCCGTCCCCTCCCCACGCCGGGGGGGGTGGGTGCCGCATCTCCTGGTGCCTTCAACCAGGTGTCGGGGGCATCCCCTGGGTCCCTAGGCTGGCAGCGAGGCTGGAGCCACGTGTGTGAGCGGCTGGTGCTTTCCTGCCCCCCCCCCCCCCCCCCCCCCCC